CATACAATTACCAGTAGCAAATACCAGATTCTGCCTGTGTTAAAAGTAAAAAGGCAAGAGATGCATGTGTGCTGTTTTCAATCCTGAGCTTCTAAGCAGGAGAAATACACAAATATACAGAGATAACTCTGAGAAATAGCCTTTCATTTTTAAAAAAGTAGGTGTCTAACAAATGGCTTTCTTTCATATTTTCCACTACAAATTTCATTGAGACATTAGAGAGAGTGCCCAAGTAGATCTCTGTTTTCTGACAGGCTCCAGATACTCCAGGCTGTCTATTTAATCAAGTGCCTGAACCCCTGGCATTGGGTTTGCAACACACCTCTGATATACGGCTTCATACTCCTCCTAAGATTGGTTACTCTGATTGCCTTCTCTGACTCCCTCACTTTCACTTCCTGCCAAAACCTCAAAATCTCAAATTCACATCTCTTCAGTTTCAGAGAAAATACATTACAGTAACGGGCTTAGTGTTCCTCCAGTAGAGTTGTGTAGCTCTCTGAACTGTTGGTCTTTTTTCCTTCATACCTTCAACCAGCCTCATCCTTAACTATCCTATTTTGTTCATAATCTATCATTTTGTAAAACATAGACACACCATATTCAGAGATTATTGCACCACAGATATATTTTGCTGTGTCAAATCATCCTTCATTCTTATTCACTGCAACTATGCAAATAATTCCATCTCTCCTTAACTAACTTCCCCTGTTTAAAATAACACTGTAATAACAACAATGCTATAGCATTGATCATAGCAGCAATTAGATTACTTTACTGTGTTATGAAATGACACACACATAAAAAAGAGCAAGACACATCTTTTCTGTTGTAACTGGAACATAAGAAAAGTAATTTTCAACTACAGTGAATTTACTATAAAATATCCTTGGTAACCCCATTTTAAACAGAGTGCTCACTGAAAAGGTCACTTACACGTATATTCATTAAGCTCCTCCCACAGAAGAGAATAAATAAACCTTTCTGTCACTTTATGCAATGTCAATAAATACTTCTAAAAAATACCCAGACTTTGCAAAATCTTCCCCCACATCTGTTTCTAGTCATCACTTCGTAATTCAGGATATATTTCCCATCCCATTCCAGAAACCATTTGAACTTCATATGAAAGACAAGGCTTTCTGCTGTCTGGCCCAGATAGAGTTTATACCAGAGATTAATCAAATGCTATCCTAATTTATATAATGAACGAGGCAGATCAGTAAGTTTTGCTAGAGTCAAGGATCAGTGTCTTTTGGAAAGTAAGAATAACTAAAACAGGCAATCAGTGGATGCTTTGCCTGATTTTAGCAGGAACAGCTGGAAGAAACACTTTCAAAATCTTGTCCATGGCATTCCCCTCTAGTGAGCTTTTGCACCTGCTGACAGATGCTGCTGGCTTGATCTTCCTAAGAGAAATGCTTTAGCAGCCCTTTTCCCTTCCCTCAAATCTACTTTGGTTTCCTACTGTTGATGGTTTCTGGTCCCTTTAAAGTTATAACCCCCGGCTCCCTCCCATTCAATAGCTGTCACACAATACCTATGCTTTTGTTCTCTACTCTTTTTTCTTTGTTCACATTCATCTTCCTACAGTTTTCCTACCTTTATACCACCCTAAAGACCTTTTCTCCCCATGTTGCTTTACCACCTTTCAGTGAAATGTCACCATCCAAATCTTTGTTAAGCAACAAACTTACTTTCTATTACTATACTTGAGATCCAAATGCTGTAATTCCTAAATCCTGTTTCACATTATTTGCTTTGGCAGCATTGTCCCCCACTGAACACCCTTGGTTAGCATTGAACACTGCAAGTCGGGGTGATGTGCAACTCCTTGATACGTTCATTACCTTTTTCCTTTTCCAAAAGTAGTGCTTACAAACCCTGCCTGCAAACCACGACCCCTTTGTATCAAATTCAACAGACACAGAGCAGTGTGAGCCAGAAAAGTTGGTCCTTGTCTCTCTCTCTATTAAACACCCGGAGTACAAATCCCAGTTTTGGAGCTGGCTCATTCAGCTTTGCCTCAGGGATATTTGCACCATGGTGTGTCACAGTGCAGCTGTGCCCTAAGTAAACTTTAAAACACCATTGTACAGACTTGTGGCAGGCAGGCATAATAGAGAGGCATAAAACACTTGAAAAGCCTTAATCATCAAGAAAAATAAGAGTTTGTTAAGGACAATGTTTGAAAGAGAAATAATTTAATCCAAAAAAGGCAGACCTGAGTCAGAACCTCCAGGCAAAATACTGTCAGTGGGATAAACCAGCATGGAAATCATCCTCCAAGAGCAGCAATAACCCCCTCTTCCTTTGGAATTTTAGGGCTCATGTAGACTGGGCACAGAGAAGAATCCAGGCAATAACATTAGATGCCATGAAAAGCTTACTCTGCTGCTAAAGTCAGAGACAGAGAAATGAGCTGAAAGCTCTGGTGTTACTAAGGTACTTCTTATTCACAGCTCAACTGTCTTTTACGTTTAACATTCATTACAGGATGCTGACCTGGTGTTTTCTTCTGTACTCTGATACAGATTTTAAGCTGAAACACCCTGTGAACAAGATGGAATTACTGATACGGATACATTAATTGGTTATTTGATATTGTCATATGCTATGTTCGTCACAGAAGTCATTAAAATTATTTTCCTTCCTTCAAAAATGGGAAAGAAGACATAGGCAAATGTGAAATTGCCTTTGAAGCACACATAGATATCAGTGACATGGGTATTTGCCTCGTCAGTGCAGTGAGACATGTGGCTGGCACATGCTCCTGAGCAGCCAAGTCTTCCATAAAGACTGCATAACTAATTGCAGTCTTCCTTCCCAGGTGCCATGGCAGCAGGCATTACCCAGACTGAGGTTAAAGCATTGGAGTAATTAGCCTGAGTCAGTGGTGGGCCAGTATTTGTCTGCTGTGATGACTTCACTGGAGTGGAGCTGCGTAGTCAAAGCTGCCTCCAAAACTGGCCTCTTTAAATGCTCCATCTAAACACTGGGGCTGAGTCCCAAGGGAAAATACAGCACAAAAAGGAAAGACCAAGAAGCTGAGACAAAGGAGGACTTGGGACACCTCTCCTGATAACCTTTCTGCTTAGCTAGGGGAAAGCCACAGGACAGAATAATCCTGTGCCACGGAAGAAGTTAAAAAGGCATGAGCTGCATCTGCTGCCAAAGTTTTGTTAGAGCTACTGGAGCGAGCAGCTGCAATTTGAGACGAAACTCCTTCCTCCTCCAGTTCTTTTCAGCAATATTTTATGCAACGTTAAATTAAGGTCAGATAAAGGACATATTAGTAGTGTTCTTGCCAGTGAAAACCACAAGTTCACTACTGCTACTACATTATGTTTATTTACTTACTGTTTGATAAAAAGAGTTTCCCTTTAAAGGTCCATTTGAGGAACCTGTGAAACTGAGAACAATATTTGGACAGGGCTCTGAAGAGTTAATGGAAGTTCTCTGTGCTCTGTCTGAAGTCAGATGGGGTTCTCTTTCAGCATATTAGTTGAATGTATACACTGGGAATATTTTACTTTGTTTTATGTTATTGCAATTTACAAAACTTACACTAATAACCCAATTTCATGCAATTATCTGAATGCAAAACATTGTTCAGTTGAATTCCCATAACCTAATCCTACTAGTTCCCTTGGCTGTCTCACTTTCAATTATGAACCAAGGTCTGTGCACATCAGTTGAAACACTGCTATTGTAGAAATCTAACCTTCCTTTAGAAGTTTTTTTCAGTGGTCTTCTGTCATACCGGCTGTTTTCATTGTCTGCAACCAAAAGCACTTGAAAGAAATCTGATTTTAACATCACAGGCTTGCAATACATATACTTTATCTAGAGCGGTTTGTTGTGTTTTAGTGGTAATGACCCAGTTGTGTTTGCACCATAATTGTACCTCTAAATGTCTCTTAAGCTGCACATGTGGGGCAAAGTGTGGCTTTATGAATATACAGGGGAAGTGGAAGAAAAGAGGAAGGCCATACAGAGAATTACATTCTTCTTTTCCTTACATATATAACTCAGCTAGCACAGTTTTGGAAGTCAAGCAGTGGATAATGTTAACACTTCATTAGTGCCTACTTAGTGTTCAAGTCTGAGTATTCAGATATTTGGAGGCTGGCTAAGGGTTCGTACATGTTTGGTTTAGTACTTACTTTTCCCTTTTCGGGGCCTTTACAGTTTGTATCTGCAAGTTTTACTCCACAAACTATGGAAAAAAATAAAAATAAAAATTAGTTTTTTCTTGTCTTTTTGAGTATAATCCAGGATTTATTAAATCACATGACTCCAGGAAATAGGACTTAAAGAAAAATACCAAAGAAGCTGAAGTTTATAAGAGCCAGGGACAATGTGCTAAGTTCCCCAAATCAAGTTAATGAATTAACCTAGTCAACTGACCTGCCTTTCTGGAAAGAAAACATGCATCTTGAAAAACATGGATAACATCATACTGCAGAAAGTACTTCCTTGAAGCTTTGGAAAGTTTGGTTCTGTTTTAGTACATCCTTCTCTGGCTGTTCCTCTGAAATACCTATCCTGCATTTCCTCATTTGTGCTCTTTTACTGCATTTTGGGTAGGAAGGAACCATTCTTACATCCACTTTGGAGAGAACCTGCCTTGCTTGATTCAACCAGGACAGATGTAGTAGATCATTTTTAACTGACGTTACCTACACACATTTCTTTGAAACTCAGTCTCTAAACTCCATTCCTTTGTTGTGTATTGGAAGAAATAATACTCATTTCATTATGAGATAGGACAGACATCAGCCTCTGGCCTTGCCTGGCTCTCATTTGTCTATAGAGGAAGGTTTCCAGACCTGGGCTTTTCACGTACATCAATAATCTAACATGAAATTAATCTCAACCCTGATGTCCTATTTTGGATATCCATAAGTCAAAGTAGTAAAATTAAATTCCTTTTTCACTTCTGCTGCCTTAAATATCTTCCATCTTTTTTTTTTTTTTTTTTTTTCCCTAAAGGAACAGCTGCCTCTTCAGGCAGTGAAATTTCTGTTCCTTATAAAAGCTACACATTTATCTGATATCATTATTCAGGTCTCCAAATGACCTTCATTAAAGCAGAGGAATTGGAAACATCATATTTTGGTTATTAAAGGGTGAAAAATAATCAGAAAAAGAGGTAAGAAAAAAAACAAAAACAGTAAGTTTCTAAACATGAGAGCAATAAAGAACAAACACAGTTTTATCTTTGCATTTCACCTTTTATATACTACTTATATTATCACACATCCTGATAAACACACATAGATACCCTGTTATCAGTTATCTTTAAGGAATACTTCAGATAGTAAGGCAGGACTCTCCCATCTTATTTTGGCTGGCATGCTCTACATTAATCCCCTGTCACTGAATCTGCAAACATGGCCACTCTGGTATTTTACTTATACAGTATTTTATCTGTGAAATTGCTGGTAGCCCAGAAAAATGTCTTGGGGAAAACAAATTTCATTTTTTGCTATATGCCTTCCATCCCTATCACAGATGTCAAACAGTAAAAGAAATATATATTGGCTCTCAAAGGGTCCTTTCATTTTCTCTGTCTGCTTTGTTAGAGCTGCCACAATCACTTGCTCCTTGCAGAGCATGAGACAGACACGTGTAACATCTTCACTCACTTGCACAGGGAATCACTCACAAAGCTGGTTTCCTCTCATTAAGCCTCTCTGAGAAGTAACTGATAGCAATGCAGGCCTTGGCAATTATTTAACATTTTGAACAGACAGAAATAAGTGGACTGGCTGCCTTGATGCTGCAGCACTTCATTCTCACATGACTGTCTGGAAATTCTGCTGCCCTGAATCTCTGGTTTCTAGTGAATGTGTAGTAATACATCAGCCTCTTCTCAGGAATGCCTTTCACAGGCATGGAACTATAGAAAAGCTTTCTAGCATTCATTTGTTACGTGCACTGCTGGCACAAAAGTTTGCATTGGAACAGGCAAGGTAATTAATTACTATTCTGATTTAACATTCCTCTGTCTTTTACACCTTTGCAACACTCATTCATATATATATATATATTTATAATGCATATATACATGCATCCATACATCTATAAATATACAAGCATTTGATGCCCTATTTTTGGAGCAGAAATCAATACTAGCTGCCCACTGCCAAGTGGCTCCCCAGAATGTATGGCCATGAAATTCTGCTTTAACAAACACCTGCATGTGCAATATAGAGGAGAAAAAAGAAAAATGTTCAAATGAAGGCATCTTTCCATTTCCCACTTCTAAAGCACTATATAAACAGAAAATTGGAAGGGATCAAAATACATTCTTAGAGCTTCTTGTGTATCACATATTGTATTTCATTACACATTTTTCAAAAGGCTCCACCTACTCTCTGAGACTAGAAATCTTTTAATAGCATGAAGTTAGTCAATCTTTCTTTCATTAATATTCATATATATGCCCCAGTTCTTACATTTAAATCCACTAATGAAGATTCACTGCTGCTGCAACCCAACACTGCAGGACTGGGATCCTTTTGTGCTGCCCTGTGTAGCACTGAACTACATGATGGGCAAACAGTATTTATTAAACAGCAACCACTTCACCTGCTCTCTGCTCCCTTAGCCCTTCTGCTAATTCCTTGGACAGTGCAGTGTCAGTTGAGGGGGGCTGTGTTCTCATTGCAGTGATGTGAGAGATAGCAGAGACTTGTATGTCACTGTCCTCTGTGTTGAAAAGACATTTTTAATAATCTCTGCCAAGTTATTCAATCTTTTAATCTTTTGCATTATAAAATGTTCCCCATTTTATGAAAGGGAGACAACAGTGCTTCTCTTCTTCCCGAGGATTTCTTACAACCATACAGCTTCTGGTTTCCTTTTAGCACTAACTCGATCCCTTTATGCAGCACCACACTGTGATGTGTAAACTTAGCCTGGAACAGAGTCTGAAGGCAGAAGAGACCATTATGATCATCTAGGATTTTTCTCAGGGATTCCTGCATGAAGCTCCACAGTTTCAGTTGCCAAGGAAACAATTATCAATCTTTTCCATCCCTCGCCATCCTTATGCCTCCTTTCCATTTTTCTGTTTCTTGCTACAATAAAAAGAATCTTGTCAAATGTCCTAGTCTCCAGCCCTTGCATCCTGACCTCCTCCACAAAGAAAGAAAAGGAAATGGTGTCGAGGATTCCTGGCTGGGAGTTCAGTCTGAAGTTTACCTTCTACCCTTGAATTTTGTGCTGCAGGTGGACAGCCCTTTGAAAATGATCCTCTCAGCTGCAGATAGCTTATCAAATGCTCTATTGTTTGACTAACATAAGACATATTATTTTTTAAATTACCCAGCAGTGCAATTTAAATTACCATTTGATACATTTGTGGTATCTTTCCTTTCACCGCAGCCTTAGCTTCAGTACAACCTCATGCAGAAATGCTTTGGGGAAAAAAATCACACTTTATTATAACATGCAACTGAAGAGCAAAAGCAATAATGAGGAAAAAAAAAGGAGGATGCAAAAGATGAGAAACTGTGTAGGAGGAAGATAGAAGGCAAAATCTCTGCATCAACTAAAGAATAAATTAGATGAAGTCACAGCCAGAGAGAAAATTTTGGAGTCTCAGGAGGTTAAACTTGGGTACCTTCAGGCAAGTTAGAGATCTGTGTGGTCCCCTAAGGTCTAATGAGTTCCACCTGGATAGTTCATAGCTTCTGACACTTGCACTGATTTTATGCCTTTAAATACAACTCTGATCAGGGTGACTGTGTGAAGGACAGAATTACATCACCAATGTAATTTGTAATTGAGGTATTCCCCTCAAATTCAGCGGAATTATATTAGTATTCCGCTCCTCAGTGTGCACAAGAGGGAGGATGGAACACAGCAATTGCAGGAAGGGAAAGAAAAGCCACATTCTCACAAAAAGCTGATGGGGAAGAGGGCTGCCATTTGGCACATTTTGATAATTCACCACTTTGGGTAATTGTCACGCTTTTATAAGTAGCCTAACAATAGCTCGCTTAAAGGCAAGCAGACTTACCTTGCAAACCTTTGAAATATCAAACGACCGAAGAAAAGTCAGATATGTAAAAACTGAAACATTCCTCAGAGTATACTTCTAGGGAGAGAGAAACAAGGTAGACTACATTAATAAAACAATTGCTGCTTATAGTGAGGGAGAGATGCTTCAGCCCTTTCTCTTCTAGGCACTCATTCTTGGAGCTTGCTGAAGGTTTTTTTTTGTTCTGTGTGTGTATGAGCCGTAACAGGAAGATTCTGAGGATGGCCAAACCATGCATGTATACACAGAGGGTGTTCTCATCCAATCACCATCATGGAACCACTGAGCACATGTCCAGTAGATCTGGCATCAGAGCCATTGTGCTTCTTCTAGGACCTCCACCAGCTTACGCCTCAGGACAGAGCTCACTACAAGCCTGGGAAGTCTGGAATTTTTGGCCATTTGGCTCCATTTGTTTAAAGCATTGCACCTAAATGTAGCCCAGAAAGATGCACCATACTAAAATCCCTGAAATATTTTTCTGCTGAAATCACTTGCCAGTGATTTGGGGTGGTTGTAACAGAAGTAGTAAGATCTCTGTGTGAAAAAAAATGATGGAGAAGACAAGTTATTTTTATGAATGTCAACAATATCTCAGTTTTCTTTTTTGGCTATTTTCCTGTCAGGCTGTGCAGAAGAATGTTAGAGGGAAGCAAATAGGAAGAAAACAACAACAAATGTACCAATGCAGTTTCAAACATCACAGTGCTGTTACAAGTAGTATATTGAGGAATATTTTCCCACATACCTTCAGGCAGGCGAGTGTTAATTTCTCCTGAGTCCAGGGAGAATAAAGAAGACATTGAACTGCTGAAAAGCACAGCTAGACAAAAGGAATGGATAAACAGCAGTGTTGAGATGAGTCAGAAAATGCCAGTCTTTAAGAGAGAGTTGGGTTTGGCACTTGGCCTTGAACAGGTGTGTTTGTGCTCTGTGGAAACTGTTGAAACAATCGTGTTTTCTGGTAAGACTTAGATACAAATGCTGTCTCTTTGTTCCATCTTCTGATTTCCTTTGGCTGAATAAACATATTTTCTGAAAAAATAAATAAATAAATAAATAAATAAATATTATTTAGCCCCTGGATCAGCTGCTGGTCCCAAGTGTGTTGGGCCAGTGCGGTGCAAAGCAGGCACTGCTGGCTTCTCTATTCACATGTTGAGTGCTGTATTCAACTACCTGGAGGGGACTATGTGGACGGGAAGAGCCATCCCTGGCTGGCAGTGACATGACATGACTTAGCATGCCAGCTGCTTCACAAGCCTGTGCTTCCTCCCCTAGGCAGCAGTACACAAGTGTGAGAGCTCATTATTCTCATACAAGAGAAGCAACTCCATAACAACAAAACAAAGCAAGCAAGCAAAACAAAACAAAATAAAGAAACCCCCCCCCCAACAAACAGGTAAACCTGAGAAAGGTTTACTGTCACTTGACTCTACTATTTCTCCCACTGGGTTGTGCTGCATATTTACCTGGCAACCGCCCTCCTGCTGCTGCCTGCCCTGCCAGGCTGATGGCAGGGAAAAGGGTATCAGTTTGCAAAAAGAGAATGATCCTACTCCTCACAGACACAGCACAATCTTCCCCTCTGGCAGACCTGAGCACATTAATCAAGCAAATGGCACCAGGAGGCAGAACCTGAAGATGCCCTCCTTTTCTGTCCACATGGGCTTGCAACTATGCAACTGCTGTTTGCACTGTAGGAAATCTTGGCAATGGGATGCAGGCAGCAATGTCCCCTCCACATCCCTGTCTGCAGATGTACTGGGGAGGAAAAGGCTCTCTGCTACTTAGGAAGCTTGAGAGGGAATCAGACAGGGTCGTGATCATGGAGGTCTTGCATTCTGGAGCTTGCCTCTGGATCCAAGACAGACCCTTTGTGCACTCTGGATCAAAACCTGCTCATTTCACTAAATCTCCTCTCAGATCTTGGATGTTTCAGACTCATCAACACCACCCACTATGCTAAAACTTTCCTGTCTACTCCCACTCACATCTACCAGCTTTCCAAGCCTAAGTAGCCCCTTGCTGTCATGCTTGATCACTCTACATCATTGTCTGCATCACTGTCTTCTGTCCTGCTATTCATTGGCCACCCCTGCTGCTAGCAAGTGAGTTCATGTTCAATTAGATAATAAATTGTTACATTAATGGATTAAACAGATTCCAGTATTGCCATAATCTGCATGAGCCTCTCCTGGACTTCTCACTGGCTCTTCTGAGGTCTGTCATTCAGCCTCCTCTTGGTGCTGTTCACACAAGCTGTATTGATGTCATTTTTAGACTGAAAATGCAGTGAGTGTATTGCTGACTCATGTGCCCAACACAGTTTCATACACATTATCACTATGCAGTTTCCTTTGTCAACCAAATGCATAGTCTCATCAAAGCACAAAAATCAGGTTTGTTTGACAAGTTTGCTTATAGGTCCTTAAACTCTGTCAGTGGCATTAATTGTGTTCTTTCACTTAGTTCTTTCTTGACTGATCCATACAAGCTTTCCTTTACTTTCCCAGGAACTAAGTCTAGCCAGCCTCCAATTACAGGACTCATTCTCTGGGGCAAAATTATTACCAGTTTTTTTCCTCCGTTGCCTCTCTTTAATGTGCCCTGACCCCACCTTCCTCTGACTGTCCCTGCCCTGCTCTCCTTCATGGAGTAGCAGTAGGTTCTCTTTCACTGCTGGAGAGACTTAGGGGAAGGGATGGAGCCTTCTTCCTCTCCCTTGCAGAACAGGGTAGAGCTATCGCATGTATCAAACCCCGGGTTCTGACAGGGTTAGAGGGCAAGAGAGAGAGCTGCGGAGAGCTGCAAGGTTACAGTACCACCTTCCACAGTGTGTTGGTCTGATCCACAGACAGTCCTGGTCACAAGAGGGACCAGACTGCCCCAGAAAAGAGGGATGAGTGAGAAAGGCAGAGCTGAGGAGTTCTCCTGCCCTGCTTACACTTCTGATCTTCATCCAAAAGGTTTAACAGTACTGCCATGATTGATGATAGCATGGTATCATCCTTTTGGTTGTTATCAGAAACAAGGTTCAAATGATACCATTCCTCCTTACCTGCAGGTCTATTCCAAAGTCTGCTGGAGTCCTTTCATTAGCATCAATCAGCCTCAGATCAGAGTTTATCCTTGCATTTCCCTGGAGGTGTAAAAGATGCCTGCACTCCTCCTCTTCCTTTTTGGGATGCTCAGCAGTGTCGCGGGTCTCCCCTGCAGAACAGCAGCAGCAGTATTTGCATTTCCAGAGAAGTTACAGAGTTTCTTTTCACTCACCAGGCTCCTTTCAGGCAGCATGCAGCTTCACAGCCACCAGTGGGGCTCCTTTCCACCAAGCTAGATTCTCTGATTGCAGGATTCACCAGAGGATTAAAATAGATTTTCCTCACAAGTCCTGAAAGAAATCAGTGCTTATTCAAGAGGAAACAGACTCAAGATCATACAGCTGTCCTGCCCAGGTAACCTGTCATATAAGCCTGTATAAAGAGTGTATTTCAGGCCACAAAAAGTACAGGAGAAACACACATTGCGCTGTACAAAGGGTAGATGCAGTTGGTTTCAGATGAGGTTAGTGTATTCAGCAAAGCACTTCAAGTGCCATTTGCTGAGAAAACCTATTAATAAATGGAGACAAAGGCCATAATAAACTAAAAAGCAACTGCTTAAGAAGAAAAGTGAGAGAAGAAAGCCACAGAAAGCTGAGCTTTATAGTAAGTGTGTGCATTTGGACACATTGACCTGTGACACTGCCTGTGTATAGTTACAGGGCAAGGAGGCACGTGCATTATTAACAATCTCTTTAACACCTCAGATCCTTTCTCTGTAACCTTCACTTGTTGTAAAGTAAGGTCACATATGGTTCTGAAAAACTTTCCCCAAATTTTCATTCAACATAAGGTGGAAACTGCAAGCAGTTTGCTTCTCAGAGATCACTTTACACCTTTTCTGCAAAGCAGATCATTGGCTTCTCAAGTGTTTTCACATTGCTCACAATCTTAGAGCATTTATTGGTGAAAGCATGGTCTCCTTTGAAAATTTTGAAAATGGTAATGAGAAAAATCCAAAACAGACACGCCTCTCCGCTCAGGTTTTTTTTGTTGTTGTTTTTTTCCTCATGGGAAATCAGGATGCTGCCTTTGCAGCTGAAGTGAAATACACTGGGGAATGGGAAAAAGGTGTGAAGAAAACCCCAACAATCCAAAGAGCTCCTCACTTTCATCAGAAGTTATATTCTTCATCTTTCTTACTGCAGCCAAAGCATCTTATGAGAAATGGATTTAAGAAGCCTGGGACTCCCATTTGGATTCAGAGGAAGGGCAACTGAAATGGATGAATGGGACCCTGTGACCTTTCCCCATCCAGACATTGCACTCAGGTAGTTCCATCATTTTGCTGTGAATCTCACAATCAATGCTTCCAGCACTAGATGTGCCAGAGCTGTTAATATTTGATATCCAGCTAAGGTATTATGTATCCTCTGCGCAGGCACAGAGCTGTTGCCTATGATCAAAAGCAAGCCCTGTGATCAAAGGTATGTGTTTGACTCCTTCTAGAGAAAAGCACCAGTGATATCCTTACTTGAGTGCTGAATGAATATTCTGTTCATTTTTGCTTTCCCTCTAGTATCAACTATTTTTTGTCTGAAATATTTGAATTCATTTTTTTTGTGATTTTATGTTCTCTGAATTCTTTTGCTAGCTCTGTTTCAAGGCCCCTGGATTATAATGTCTTTCACAATGTTTCCCAGCTCTACAGGGATTGGCTGGGATGGAGTTGATTTTCTTCAGCAGCCCATATAGTCCCATGTTTTGAATCTGTGTCCAAAACAGTGCTAACATGGAAGTGTTTTGGCTGCTGCTGGGCATTGCTTGCATCAGGTCAAGGCCTTCCCTGTTTCTCCCTCTGCACCCTCAGCAAGAAGGCTGGGGGTAGGCAAGAGGCTGGGATGGGACAGCTGACCCCACCTGACCAAAAGGATATTCCATACCACAGAACATCACATTCAGCAATAAAAAGTGTGGAGAAGGGGAGATCCCAAGGTACTTGCCCAGGAACTGGCTGAGATTTGCCTTGCTGGTGGGAGGTGGTGAGTGACCTTCCATCACTTCAGGTTTTCTTCTTTACTTATGAAGGTGTCACAATTCTTTCACTCCTATGTTGTTAACTACTTCCACCATGCTCACGTCTTAAAAATGTCATTCAGCACCAAACTACTTTGTATCATACGGATGTACAGCGCCCAGCACAGCACGCTGGCCAAGACTAACTTTCCAGTGCTCCTTAGTTACGGCTAAGGAATAAGTCAGGGTTTTAAAACCCCTTCACTTGTTGGTACTGACGGCGTGTGCCGTGCACTCACTCAGCCGGGCCGAGCCGGGCCGGG